CACTTGCGTCACGACTTAGGGCACTTCAAAGATATTTGTAGCGAAGTGGCTATTTCGCTTACCAGAAAAGCTGCGAAGCTGAAACTTTGCAGGGATATTCTCTGTGCATGTATGAGCTAAAGATTTCAAATTCAGCTAATACTGGGCGTACGGTCACGTCAAAGTTTGCAGTTGGCACTGTGCTAACTCGAAAACTAGCCAGAAAACAGTGGCTGAAATTTTGTCGGAATATTTATTGTTCATATGGAAAATCGTATGCCTAAATCGAGTTTCGATTTGCGCTTGTGTCACGACTTAGGGCACTTCAAAGATATTTGTAACAAAGTGGCTATTTCGCTTACCAGACGCGCTGCAGGACTGAAACTTTGCAAGGATATTCTATATTCACGTGTAGTCTTGATTCAGTTTGGAAGTGAAATTCCTTGCACGCAGACATGACAAATACTCAGTTTTATCGCAAACTCAAAAGCGAGTGCATCTTGCAGATTTCATAATCCTCTTCCGATTTCGTTCAAATTTGCACTCTTTCAGTAAACGAGCATCCACTGGAAAAACGACCGGGTTACATGCAAAAAACTGATAGTCATGTACAGCAGAGACCCATATTGGGCCTGTCATATAATAGATAAAATAATGATTGGTGGTTTTTGTTAGGAATAGGTTAAAGAACAACTGCGTCACTGTGATGCAATACTCCGGTCCCTGGTTCAAACTTTGGACAACCTAATATCGTTAAAGTTTCTCTGTCTTAGTAATCTCTGATCCTTGGGTATAGAAGCACTCCTCCCCACAGCTGCGATCGCCACAACTCATGAAGTACTTTTTAACCTATTAGTTTTTTTCATTCCTGTTAGTTTCTTTTATTATCTTCCTCGCCACTTTTTTTTTTTTTTTATTACCTTTTAGTATTCTGCCTATTTATAAATGTATATATACGAATAGGCGTCTCACACACACACACACACACACTAACATATAAAGCATAAGACTAGTCTAAAACATTGACTGTTAGGGCCGCGATAGGCCACATAATGCAGCACCTTCATCCCAGCTAACGCATTTCTCCCTGAATTCGGGAAAAGGCCAAAACACAGCCAATATGAGTCCAGGTGTTAAGTTACAGCGCAGCAACTTTTGCTGCTGTCAGCGATCTACAAGTTTAGCGCAAAACGCATGAGCGCATTGGCAAGCCTGGTGCGTTGCAGCCTAGATTTGAATAATAAAGATAAAAACGTTACTATATTAGTAGTAATACAGTAGAGCAGCTGCAAAAGGCGCAGTAGGAACAGAAGCAAGCGAACCCATCCAGAAAGGCCGGGGAACGAACCACCAATATACTGCCCGTGTCGTCGTGATGATGACTCCGGATGACGTTCGCTAGCGGAATGTTCTGCTTGATAATGCGTTAATCTGGCCATAAGTAGTACCGACACAAGCAAATAATCCATCATATAGTAACGTTATTAAAACAGCGTGCTACTAGTAATATGTACAGTAACAGTAATAACAATTAATCGTGATAATAATGGTAATCGTAATGCCAATACCATTAATCGTAATAAAATTAAAATTCTTAATAACGGTAATAGTAGTTACTATAATTATTCAACTTGAAATTGTTATGTAATTTTGAGCAATGTACTGCAAAACACAGGCAAATGCGGAGACAGGATATT